CTCTTAATTTATTATATTAATATTATAAATTTAATCTCATTTTAATCATGAATTTGTTCTATCATACCACTATATATATATTTAATTTTAATTGCTTTTGTAATTGCTTTTGACTATCAAAAATTTATTGTCTCTAACCTAACTAAGAATTATTACATGAAGCTTTTGCTAATTTAAAATTATGAAGTTGCATCATGTCTTCTTCTGCCTAAAGATATAATTTTAACTTTCCTCTATTTACAAATTAATAAAAATAACTTTTTATTATATATATATATATAGTATATATAAGATCATTCGTGAATATAAGTATACGAGGAAGATTTTTCACATAACATTAATTAATTATAGTCCTTAGCTTTCATTAAATATAAAGTTACATTATATAAAAGAGATAATAGGAAATATATATATCTATCTATATATATATATATATATATATAAATAATATAATATATATATATATATATATATATAATATATATATATATTATTATATTATACAAGTATATATTGCAATCCTAATAAATCCTAATATGATTCCTATTTAGAAATATTGAATTTAAATTTTAAATTTTAATATATATTTATTTTTATATATTAAACTCATAATATCATTTTTATTTAGTAATTTCCATTGTATTAGAAAATTCATAATATTAGTGAATAAAAATTGTAGTGGAAATCCAAATATATATTTTAATAATTAATCATTAAGATATTCGTATTACATTAATTGAAGAGTTTCTATTTGTATTTAAATTAAGAATTTTAATTTATAATAATAATGATATATATAAAAGTAGGAATAGGAAAAAGAAACTTCAGATTAACCAAGATACTCTTATTAAATTTAGGGAAAAAGAAACTTCAGATTAACCAAGATACTCTTATTAAATTTAGAGATGATAGAATATTTTTAAAGATTTAAATTTTATTACTTGAAAAATTAAAAAATAAATAATAAGAAAATTAAAAACTTGAATAAAATAATTAAAAAATATATAGCTACTTATATAAGACATAACTCCTAGAAAAAAGGATAAAAAAAGTTTAGAACCCTCATTGCTATTTCTAAAAGGAGTCTATTTCTTTAAACTAATGTAAATAGTATATTTAATGAACTTACTCTTGCCTCTTTATTTGCAAATTGCAACTCATTCATTCAACAAGCAAGCAAAACAAAACAAAAAGAAAGAAAGAAAAAGAATTCTATTTTCCAGCAAAACAAAAGCTAATCTCAAGTTCTATTGTCAGATTCTTCAATCAAGAATTGAGAAAACAATCCGATATTGAAGAATTTTATGTTTTCTATTGCTCTTATAATTTATTTTTTTATTTTTATTTATTTATCATTGTCTATATAACCATTCTTTTTATTTTGATACTTTATTCATTTTCTAATTAATAGTTCAACTTATAATACGTGCTGACTTGTCAAGACCAACGGCATAATACGTGCTGTACATATAAGCTGCAATTTTTTGCACAGTGAATCATAATTTACCATATAGACTGTGTTTTATTTAACTAAAATAACTTGCAAGATAATATTTTTCATAATTTTTCATTATTTGTAGTATTCATAAAAATAAGTTACCGAAAATATTTTCCTAATTAAAGGAAAACTAAATCATTTTTAAGAAAAATGACTTTTACATTTTCAGGAGAGGAAAACATTTTCAGGACATGGACAGATTTTTTATAACCTTGTAAATGCATATTTTTTTAATTTATTAATCACCAGTGGCTAATACAGGTCACCAATCACCATAAACTACTACTATCGGTCATCGACAACTTTCATAATCAACCATATTTTTGCTCTTAATATTTTCATAGTGTTATGAGTTAAAGAATTTAATATTTTTTTAACTAATTTTCAATATTGCAACCAAAGAACGGAAAATAAATTATTTGAAAAATAGTTTCATGGAAAACATTTTACTTGCAAAAAATTTTCCAAGGAAAATATAAGAGTTTATCCATGACTATATCTACATGCATGAATTGTATAAATGCTTTTAATACTTATCTATTTGATAAAAAGGTAAAGGATGATAATTTTAGACATCATTATAAGTTTGCAAACAGAATTTTACACCTCAAATAGAATATGTTTGTTCCAAACAACCTATTAATGAGATGTGCTTTTCACATTTACTTTTGTGGTTTTGAGTTGATTTTGTATTATGTTCTTTTCCTGTTCATTTGATGGCTCTTTTCTTCACTAACTAGTTTATAAATTATTGAATTTTGCGATTAAATTGATTTTAAAATGCAGCTACTAGTGGAAAGAAAGCATTGAAATTATTGAATTAAGATAAAATAATAAGATATTTGTTTTTCATTCTATTTTTTATTTCTAGAAATTGTTAATAAATAGTTTAAAAATTGATCTTGTTGTATATAAATTGATGTGGTGTCTCGTCTAAGAAGGCTCTGTGGAACGATTAGTCGTTTTCTAGAGATTAATTTGTTTTTCTTTTAAGTGTAGCTATGAATATTTAGTAAGTAATAGTTAGCAGGGCTTTAATTCGGTTATTACCCAAAGAAATGACCCTCATTTCAATTTCATTTTGAGATGTTTTGAAATTTAAAATTTCATTCTAAATATTTTTTTTAGAATTTAAAGATCATTCCATATATCATTTTATGAAAATTCAGTCGGAATTTCGTAATTCCAAATTTCTCAACCTTAAATATAAATCTAGTTTATATTTTAAGACATAAATTTTGAACTTTAATAAGAATTAATCAATATGTTTATTTGAAATTAAACATAAATAATAAAAAAGAATTAAATTGCAACAAATCAACAAAATTATAAACTACGGTTTATGGCTTAGTTGACAATGCATGTTGGGCATGTGGAAAGAGCTATTGAGTTCAGTCCTCACTAAACGCACCTGTAGAGAGGGGTGAGAAACCTTAACCATGATTAAATCCTGTGCCGGATTAGACGGTATCTGGTGATGAGATCTGAATACCGGTGATTTATAAAAAAAAAGCAACAAAATTATATTTCATATAATTAAAAATTCAAATTCATTGACGAGGAATGAGTATATGAAGTCCAAAATAAAGAAATTAGAGAGATAAATTAGAAAATAAAATAATAAAAAAAAAACATATCAAGAGAGCAATTCATATAAAATTTGTTTAAGAGTTTAAAAGTTAAACATTAAGAAAGAAATTTTTTTGTCAAGTACAACAGAATACTTTTTCTTGATCACTTGACAATAATGAAGCAGATCGATGAAAAACATACAAATTGTGATTCTTTGAAGCTGACTTCTTTTTTTTTTTTTTTTTACTCTTAAATTTTCAAGCCCATATTAATTAAATTGCATAGTATATTCCACACCAATTAATTTCCATATTCTAAAATTTCATTCTAAATTGAAGTTCCATTTGGATTGTTATATTAAAAATAAATTTTACACTCTAATTTTTCCAGTGTAAATACAGTGAAGAATCATAAACTTAATTAATCCAAAAAATTAAATATAATATTTTTAATCATTTTAAATAACTTTAAGGGTTCCTTCTAAAAAAAATTCAAGAGTTAAATTGGCTAAAAATGTTAAATCTAATATTTTTAATTCTACTAAACAAGTTTAAAGGTCAAATTCATTTATATTTTTTTTAAAATTTTAAAAATAAAAACTAAAATGAATGAAAAATTTTAATTTTTTTATTATTGCTAAAATTGAGCACTGATATTTTGAAAAAAGAAAAAATCAATTCAGTTCAGTTCGATATTTCTACATTTGCTTTCTTGACCATATGCAGGAACCTTATCATCAAGGGCGAACTATGCTGTTTTGGTGCATTGACTGAACGTCAACGTCAACGTCAGCGGTAGGTAGTTTTCTAATCCCAATGCAAATGGGGTTGTCTTTAACAGGATGAAAATAGACCTAGGTACCACTTTACCACCAAATAACAAAAACAAAGTGAGTCAAACTTCACCTTCCATAGATGAGTTCTGATGTCATTTTTTTTTTTTTTTTCCTGCAAGAATATACAATAATGAAATTAGCCTTTTCAGTAATGAGAAATTAGGTAAGAGAGAATAATTGTGCAGGAATCCTATTTTTAGGTAATAAATTCATAAATGTGACTCAATTTCTTAGCAAGCACCAAAAATGCATAACGACATGTAAAGGAATCAAGCAGAGAGCAAATTAACTCATGCTAAAAACTAAAAAAATAAAAATAAGTAAAAAGAATTGCTTGATAAAGGAGAAAGTAATATGAGAACTGCTAAACTACATGGAAAAATCAAAAAGACCTCCTCAAAATTGCTCATAAAAACACAGATATATAGTAAACATTTTCTTGGATATGCTACTATTGAAACTTAAGAGGGCTTTTCGCTGTTAAAATAGAACTTGGATGGATTTTTACCTGCCAGAGCCCGAATTGAAACGTAGTAGCAAGACCAGTGAACTAAAAATAGTACTTTTCAATTGTCGGTCTTTGTATACCCAGAAAAGTACTTCTTAGAGTTATTTCTCATTGAATTTCAAATTATAATTCCTTTGTATGAATAAGATATCAACCCTCCTTATAAGGAATTAAACATTCTCTCATCTTAAAGTTGTAAGATGGTGTAAAAATAACATAACAGAATTTTTGTTGTACTCAGCATGAGAGTGGTATGTGTACGTTCATATCTACGGTTGATTAATGTTCTTTTTTTTTTTTTGGTTTGAGGGAACTATTAATTAATATATCAGTACTCCGAGAATTAATTTTACAGTGACTTTTATGTTTCTACTTTTGCTTTCTTGACTACACTACTGACCTCCGCAATCATCCAAAACTGTACTTCATTAGAAGAAAATCAATAAAGAAAAAAATGAGTTTTGTCTGATCGGTATAATATTCAGTTTATGATTAGAAAATTATGAATATAAACTCAAATTTAAACAAAGTTTAACTAAAAAAATTGGTAAATTTAACAAATTCTGCATTCTTTAAGTTGAAAGAAATGAAAAAAGAGAACAAATTCCACATTAAGCATGCATATTAAGGCTACAAATATTTTTAGCAGTAACTAAATGCAAACCATATTCTAATTTTTCTATCATTACAACTACAAACAACTTGCGTTCAAATCCAGACATACATTTATGAAGTAATAAGCAATACTTGACTTAAAACATACAAATATACATAACATCCAACATGAAACACTGACCTTAGTCTGTCTCTAACAACAGGAAATCAAACACTAACTCTAGCTACCAACATAAAAACAAACGGTACACTTCTTGACAGTTGAGGGCAGAGAGAAATACTAATTTTTATTTTCTTTTAATAACAGTTAATTAGGCTTCTCTCACCCCAGCAGGCCGGGTTGCTACTCGTAGTTTTATCACTCTAGAAGAACCAATGCTAAAAATTGCCAGACGTAACCCTTATTTAGAGGTCTCGGTTTCCATTGCAGTGTCATCATCTACTTTTCCTTTACTCTTCTTAGTTTCTTTTACAAGACTAATCTCTTTTTCTCTTTGAGATTTTTTCAAGGTTTTGGGTCCAACGTTGATCTGTGGACCGCTACCAGAACTGATTTTTGGTTGCTTAGGAGGGCCAGCACATCTTCTGATTGATAGAAGAGAGAAAAAATTAATTAGTAAACAGTATGCATGCACAACAATTTTACAAAGAAGAAAGAAAACCAGGAAAGAAAAATAAAAAGTGACCTACATGATCACAGTTTTACGTGGATAGCATATGAGCCTTGAAGTGGCCACTGGGAGTGGGAACGAGGTCTTATGCACAAAGCTTCCTGCTAAAGCCATAAAAAATGTTAAGGATTTTTTTTTTTTTTTTTTTTTTTTTTAAAAAATTTAAGGAATTTTTTTTTGTTTTTTTTTTTTTTTTTTTTTTTTTTCGCTCTCAGACTCTCTGCAACTATAACTTAAAGTCTATAAGGCAGTCTTTAAGTGCTTTCTGAGTTCCAAATGAGCTTAAATGATATTTATAATGGCAGACTCCATTGACAGAACATCAACTCAGAGAAAATTATGCATATAGGATTACTAATTATTTTGTAGGCCCCTTAATGCTTGCATGATTGCTTGGTAGTGGAAGACCGGAGTTGCTTTTCTTTCTTTCCTTTTTATTTTTGTCTTTTTCCAAATGAGCTTATCTTATTTATGTATGATTATTCACTATGTGCATTTTATAGGTGAGCCCCTTTTTTCTTTTTTTTGGAAAAGACTAATTTATAGGCAGTAGCTGTAAAAGATTATTTACATAAATGACTAATATTTTGAGAACCGTACTCGTCATTGAAACAGTGAAGGCAGACTCATTAAATCGAAAAATTAGATCAGATTCAATAGGTTCAACCAAATTTATATATATATTTTTAAATAGAAATAGATATCTGATTAATAGCTATTAATGATATCTAAAAAAAGATAAAAACATTATATAAAATATTATCCTTTAGCTTAGGCTATTAAGTTATTTTCCTAAAACTTTCCATTGAATTGAAGATTACATAAACTAAGATGAAAGTCGGTGCCGTTATATATGGCACAACCCAAGTGGAAGTGAATTGAGTTTTTTAAAAATTTGATTTTTAAAACTTAAGATCAGAATTTTATTGCAGTGAAATTAGAAAGGGTTTGTGAGAGTCAGTTATTAAATTTAGAACTTTCTCACAAAGCTGTTGCAAGATCAGAAAAACTCTATGAAAAATAGTTACTACATTTAGAACTACTTCACAAAGCTTATGCAAGATTAGAAACTAATTAAAACTCAGATTGTAATTTTTACAAAATATAAAAGGACATATTAGAACTTGATAAAATCACAATACAGAAATTCAGAGTTCTAAGGTTCCACAAAAATAAAGTTTATTCATGTTTAGAAACAGAAATTCATTAATAACTTTGTATTTCTGAAATAATTAACATAAGTGTAAACAAAATATAATCAAGCAACACTTTAGAAAATAAAAAAAGATAAACACAAAGATTTATAGTGGTTCGGCACTAATTCGCCTATATCTACTTCTCAAGACTCATCTTTTGAGATCCTCCACTATGTTATCTCTTTTCAAGGGTAAGAAACAAACCAACTTTACAAGGAAATAGATCAATACCTAGATCTAACCTTTGATCATTACCTAGATCTAAACCTTTGTCCCATTAGATTTCTGAAAAGATCTAACCTTTGTCCCATTAGATTTCTGAAAGTTCTAGTCAACCTCTACCCTTTCTGTTTTACAGAGAATAGAAAACTCAGATCAAGATATTAGAATCTCGCACAATAAGAAGGTCGCTTGATAACTTTTTTACATTATAGCTTTTTACCTTAAGCTATTACACAAATGTTTTTCGTTTAATCAACTTCTAATCTATACCAGATTACAATAATCTATATAGACAGAGAGAAACGCAATTATAAGTACAACAAAAAATAGATTTTGAAAACAAAAAGAAGTTCAGAACTGTTCTTTAGAAAAAATTGTTATCAGATTTCTTTTCTCTTTGAAAAATATATCTCGAAGAAAATAGATGAAAAGAAATGAAAAGGGGTTAAAGAAAAAGCTTTGAGAAATCTAAAACTTTGAACAATTACTCTTACTCTTGCAAAAAACATCATGTTTTCGAAAGAGGAAAAATATATTTATAAAAGGGATGAAAATCCAATTATAAATGAAGTTGAGATTTAGCTTTAATGAACAAAGAATATTTATGATATTTGAAAATCAAAAGTCAATGCACAAGTAACTTTTGTGGAAGCTCATTTAATGGTTATCAAAAATATTTTTTCCAAAATCTTTTCCATTTAGGTAGCCATAGACAAAAGTGCAATGATTTGAGCTTTTTCCTTTTCAAGCATTTGTTGAGAATATTTTCAGAAATAATTTTAAGATAAGAAAAATATTTTATACTTAAAGGAATTTTCTCTCCATCCTATAATATTTTCTAAAATTTAATAAAATACTAATCACTAAAAGATCTTTAATAATTTTCAGGGTCTTAAATAAAAAATCTTCAATAACTTCAATATATAAAATTTATGTATAAAATAATTTTAGCACATATAAAAATATTAAATTTATTTATTTTTTATAATCATCAAAATCTTAGGATAAAATTGACCCTTGAACTAATAATGAATTACCCTCCCTGCTTCTTCAATTACTGTCAAATATAGATATCGATTAACTGACAAGTCATAAATAATATATCCCTTTTTTTTTTTTTTTTTTTTTTTTTTTTTTTTTTTTTTTTTTTTTTTTTTTGGTCAGTATAGATTCAGAAAAGCCCATCACCGACAAGTTACGTAATAAAATTAGAAGGTGCATGATAAAATTAGAAGGTTCTAAATAAATAAAGACAAACTATCAAAAAGTAGTTCCCTAGCCATAAATCATTAAACGATCGAACTAAATTTATCATATTTGAAATTTTACGTCCTTTAAAAATATCATTAAATTTGTTTAAGGCTTTGTTTATTTTCGTGAAATAATTTGCAGAAAATAATTTTCTGAAAATAAAATATTTTCTTGGAAAACATTTTCCTTGAAAAATATTTTCTTGGAAAACATTTTTCTTGAAAAATATTTTCCAAATGACTTATTTTCCGTTATTTGATTGTAATATTGAAAATTAGTTAAAAATATTAAAGTCTTTTTCATAAAGACCATAAAAAATATTAATAATAATTAGAAATTTTATTAATTTTAAAAAATTTTATGTGGTTAAATAATTTAAAAATTTTATTGTTAAATATGAAAAGAATGAAAAGAAATATAAATTATGAAAATCGCCAATGGCCGGTGGTGGTGGCCGCTGGTGGTGGTAGTCGGTGATAAATGATGACCGGTGGTAGTGGCTATGATGATTAATAAATTTAAAAATATGGATTTATAAAGTTCGCCGATATTCGAAAATGTTTTACTCTCTTGAAAATAGAAAGTTGTTTTTCTTAAAAAATGATTTAATTTTTCTTTGACCAGAAAAATATTTTCTGTTAACTTATTTTCCTGAGCGCTCTAAACAATAAAAAATTATGGAAAATATTTTCCTGCAAATTATTTTTCAGAAACAAACGGAGCCTAAATTACAATAAATTATTGAATAAATTATCTATATTACTCTTAATTTAATATTAATTCTCTTAGAAAACTATTAAATATTAACTCGAACTGAACCATAGTCCGATTCGTAGTTAAACCTATCGAACCGATGGATTCAGTATGATCATCAGAACCATGAGTAGTACAAGCCCTCAAAAGCTCTTTTTTTTTTCTTTTTTTTTTTCTCTATATACATGCAATGGTATAAAGATATAGTTTACAGTACTGCAATTTAAATAATTTTTTAATACAAATTATAAATTATTACAAACTATAAAACGCATTCACAACAACCTGCAACTGATAAAATAATTATTTAGGCGAAGCATTCAAGCAAAGACCTTAAATGCTTAACTACGGATAGAAAAGTACATATTCAACATTTTTCCTTTGGCCAGAGAGGAATACTTTTATTAAAACAGTAAAGGCTCAACAACAATCATAGATTAAATCTAATTTGGAGGGGAATTCCAAACCTGAAGACCCACACTCAAAATAAGTCATTCTTATAACACCATGGACAGCCCTATTTGCTTGTCCGTGAATTCAAATACAGTCGGCATTTAGCCAAAATTTATATAGTCTTTTGGAAGTTCCAAAATTTATATAGTCTTTTGGAAGTTAATGTGTAAAAGTTTATTTCCTGCATAGCATATTGAAATTTTAGTGTTACATGATCTTAAAATGGTAGATTTACTCTTTTTTTTTTTATTCTTTTGTTCAATAAGGATTCAATATTTAGAATCAGATTATAAATAAGAATTTTGTTTTATTTATGATTTTTCTAATCAAATATGAATGAATTGCCTTTCACTGAGGTAATGAAATGGGTTTAATATTGTGTATAAAAGCTTACTCGTAATACTACCTAATCTTTAATTTAAAAAGAAACAGAAATTGAAAAGAAATTAAATGCAACGTGTAATTTTTGAAATTTAAAATATGAGATCTTATTTTAAGTGTTCTCAAATCGAAATTTTCGATAATATATTTTTGGGTTTGGGCCTAAATCGCAAATTTGGACTCGAATTGAGACTGTGCTATACTTGCAGCCCGCACAGTCAAAATTTCTGAATTTTTGATTTAATAAAAATTTAAAAGTTTTGAAAATAAAAATTCAAGATGCTTCAAAATCACAATCAAATAATAAATTAAATATTAAAAAAGTTAAAACTTTCAAATTTTAGAAGGCTTGATTATCTGCATAGATTCGTTTGAAAAATTAGTTTTATTAAAATATATCCAATCAAATCAAAGAAAAATTATATATGTTTTCATGTGAAAAATTTTGAAGGATACGCTAGGCTCTCTCAAATAATGTCATTTTCACAGCCAGTTTTATTTCTTTGCATAGCACCTCCACAAGAAAGGAAAAGCAAAAGGAGATCCGGCGCCTTTAAAAGGAAAAGGTCCGAGACTTTTTTAATTTTTAAAATATGAAAAATAGATATAAAATAAAATAGTTGTTAAATTAGATTAGATTTCAAAATCTGATGATATTTCATAATCGCTTAATGGAAAAACTAAATATTGAATCTGAAACTGTAATAGAATCATAATCCAATGACCAAATAGTATAATTTTGGCTGTGGTTTCCTCGTCATGTGTTGTTCATGCTTCATGGATGAATGCAAAAATCATAATATAAACATTAAAATAAAAAAAAAAATCAAATCTATAATAAAGTAAAAAAAAAAACTAAAAAACTACTGTTTAATTTGAGTTAATTCAATTAAATATTAACAA